AGGGACCCTCTTCAAGTTCTCTCCCACCTCACAGTAGGGACAATCCCAGACGGGTGAAGTATCCTGGTGCGGGTCTCAAAGCTCACCAATGGCACAACTGTCACCGGAACCCTCTTCTCTGCTGTCTTTTCCATGCTGTTCTTTGGCTAAGATGTTTTTCTCCTCCAAGATCTGGGAAGTTTTCCAAGTACCACTAAGGTGGGCTGCCCGGGGTCCAGGAGTCTGTTGGCGGTTTCTCCAATGGACTCAGCACGGGTGAACGAATGAGAAAGGCAGAGCCAGAGGCTGATCCAGGAGGCATGAGGTGGGGAGGGGGTGGTCAGAGCGCTGAGTGTGGCTTTTGTGTGTGTGCTTGAGGGTAAGGCTGCATGTGCAAAGATGCACGTCGCTTCCTTGCACATTGGTGGGACAGGACCAGGACTACAGGCCAGTCCAAGAGGTGCTTTGCGGCTCCTGGAATGAATGGGCCTCTGTCCTCAAGGCTGTGTGAGCCTCTGTGTATGCAGGTCCCATTAACTCAACCTCAGCTGCACGCAGAAAGGGGAGAGGCCCGAGAAGCCCAGAGCACACAGTCCTTCTGATTTTAGAATGAAGTACTGATGTCCCACCCGACGAGCTGTTATCTCTTCTAACCCCTACTGCCAAGTTCCTCTTGAACACGCTCCAGCAAGTAAACCCATCGGCCATGTCAGCATGTGTGCCCCTTCCGGTGCCGGGACCCTGAGTGTGCCTTTCTCTTCCCTCTGTATGCTGACTTCCAGTTAGCCAGGTGGCTTCACTTGCACAATCGTATCTGTAATGGACAGGCAGGCCCAAGTCCTGTCCAGGGGCCCTATGTCCCCACTCTCCCTTCCAGACCTCTCTGGGCCCAGGCCCCTGTTGCCCTTGGCAGTAGTTTGTTTAATGGAGTGACTCCTGTCTGGGAGCAGCTTGGAGCACAGGACACAGGGAGACAGTTGTCTAAGCTTGCTATTTTTTTTTAATTTTTTTACCAGCAGAGCCAAACCACAGTAATGGGTTCAGTGGCCTGGCTGGACGCCTCCCTCACCCCTCCAACCGCTATCCTGGCCCCCATTACCAATGGTCTCTGGTTTAAGACTTCTAGTTATCCACTGGAAGACCTCCTGGGTTGGAATCTGGTTCCCTACATGACAGAAGGGAGATTCGGCTTCTGTACAAGTAACTGGAGCTGAGAAAAGTTCCTGGGGACCAACGGGCAGACCCATGGAGACTAGCAACCACACCATATCGTCCTTATACCCCAGAGCCTGGCACCGAGTGGGACCCGAAGAGGTTAACTGAGCTAATGGTTGACTAGATGGTAGTAGACAGATAGGCAGATGGATGACTATATATGACTAAAATCACTTGCCCATAAAGATATTTTTTTTCATCAAAATCTTACCTGATGTCTTGACTCAAACAAAAAGAAAGACAGTGTGATCACCCATCACTAAATCTAAGGGAATGGTGCTAGCTTAGCCCCTCTCTGGCATGTCTCTGAGACTACCTTAGAGGTCTGGGGCTGTGGAAAACTGCTCCACTCTCTATCCTTACTTGGGCTGTCACCTCCAAATCATTTTCTAACTAGTATATTAGACTGCCCTTTTCCTGGTGGTAGAAGGAAGGGGATCAGGAGCAGCTGAAGGAGAAAGGGACAAGGTTATGTGCCACCCTCAAGCTCTCCTCAGCTTCCCAGCTCCACTTAGGAGTGCTGCCATTCCCTCTGGCAGACCCCAAAGATCCCTGGTACTGAGTGTCTTTTTGGGAGGGAAATGTCCAACGCACCCCCAGGTCCTTGCTCTTCAAGTCTGGTTACTATTCTCTGTGAGACTTCCATCTAAATTATATCTGGAAAGCCAGGGTTTGAGGTCCAAAGAGGCTTGCCTCCCTCACTGAGTCCATGTTCTAAGCAAATGCAAGATAGCTATTGGCTCAGGGCAGCCAAGAAAGGCCTCGTAAGCCAGGGCAAACAATTAGGAACAATTACCATCAAGCAAGGCCTCTGGTGAGGGTGGAAGCCATCTGTGATGAAAACTGGCAGAACCGTTTGGGAAACAGCAGAGGGTGGGGGAAGGGCTGAGAGAGCACAGCCCAAGGGTCATGACTCCTCCCACTTAGCTCCTTGAATAAAATTTCCTTCACAGGGCAAAGGGGCTGGGGGGGGGGGGAAATGGAAGACCGAGGGAGGGCTCTGGGCTCCGCATTCCTGAGATTCTCAAACTCAGGCAGAGGAAACTCACACTGACAAGAATGAGTGAAAAGACAGAATGGACCACTAGAAATGTCTCCAGTCTCTCTCTCTCTCTCTCTCTCTCTCTCTCTCTCTCTCTCTCTCTCTCTCTGTGTGTGTGTGTGTGCGCGCGCACGTGCGTGTCCCTATCCGGCGCAAACCTTGCCTGTTTCTTGAGGCCATGTGCATGGATGGGCTGGGGCCACCTGGCGTCTCTGTATTTCATCACCCTCTGTCCTTAGGTTTATCTTTTTCTGGCTTAGATGGGACTCTAAAGGAAAAAGAGTGGACAGGTAGAGAAGAGAAATGACACTTGAGGAGGGGTGGGAGAGGACCTCAGCACCGCCTGTCTGAAGAAGCCAAGGAAACAACTCAAGGCAGAGGGACTCCACCTCTCCCTCCCTTCCAAACTAAGGTGAAGAGAGGAGTAACACAGAGGTGAGGACTAGGTGAGGACTACGGAGCGGGTCCCACTAAAGGCTCTCTGCCCGGGTTTCTTTAACAGGTTGCAAGAGGCCTTTGGTGGGGTGTTTTCCTCATGAGCATGAAGCAGCCACAGGGCAGCAGCACCCCTGAGTTCCCTGCTCTTGGTTGGGAGGATGACCTGTTCAGTGTCCATGCTTCATTTTCTCATTTCTGAAGTGGTGACAACAGTTCCTCGTCACAGACTGCTGAGGGGCAAGGAAGCAATGCATATGAAACGGTTGGCCTGTAAGACCAGGGCCTTGAATTTTACTGCTACTGTATTGTTAATACTACTGGAAGATGGCTCTAGTTGCTATGTAGAAACAAAACAAAACAAAACAAAAAAATAAAAAAACAAAAACCTTGAAGCCAGAGATTCTGTAGCCAAAGAAAAAGAAAACAAGAACTTAGATCAGGAGCCAGCCCAATACTTGGGAGGCTGAAAGATGCAGATCTCTGAGTTCGAGATGAGCCTCGTACACATGAATTCCAGGTCAGTCAGAGCTACATAGTGAGACTCTTTCTCCAAAACAACAAACAAACAGACAAACATCAACATCGAAGCCCTCAAGATGGAAGGCAAGAAATGGAGGCACATGATCTAATCCCAGCATTCAGGAGAATGAGAAGGATCGAAAGCCTGACTATACAGAGAGGCCATCTCGAAAGGAGACCCATGGGGCTAGAGGGATGGCTCCACTGTTAAAAGACTAATTACTCCTCCCGAGGTCCCAGATTCAGTTCCCAGCATCATGTGGTAGCTCAACTGCCTGTTACTCTCGTTCCTGGGGACCTGACACCCTCTTCTGGCCTCTGCAGGCAAAAGGCACGCAAGTGCTACACAGACATGCATGCAAAACACTCACATACATAAAATCAAAATAAAAAGTGTAATAAAACACGAATCCAAATCAAAAACAGTGAGCTGTGATACACACTTGGGAGACAGACAAAAGGATCAGGAGCTCAGGGTCATCCTTGGCTACGTAACACATTTGAGGCCAGTTTGGGTTACACAAAACTGTCATTCGATTAACACAACTTGGAGACATCAATAATAGCAATTCATTCACCCCTTCAACCAGCCTGTCCCCTTCAGTTGTTCTAGACACCTGGAATAGTGTAGACATTATATCAAGAGATACTTAACACAAGTCAGTAGCTAGCATCATGCCCAGTTGCTGGTAAGTACAGGAGAAAAACGTGAGTGAAGAAGCTACAGACTTTGGACCGGGTGTTCCACATTTAGAGGAGGCAGCAAGGCTAAGAGGTCAGGTGGTAAACATTAAATGGCAGGGGAGAGGAGCAGGGTGGCAGTCAGAGAGGGAGTGAGCCAGGTCCGCCAGGCCACTGCAGAGACTGAAGTCTGGCCTGCAGTGGGCTGACGGTAAATGCACACAGGCAGGATGAGGAACTAACATTTCCCCTAGATTTAGGAAGTGTCAGTGTGTAAAGAACAAGCACCCATCCCTTTTTCTTTGGGATTTTCTGCACAGCCATGACCAGAGAACCATACAGGAGTAGCTGGGGAGAGGGTATCTCTTACCAACACTGAGTGTAGAACCCACTTGGAGAACAGTCTCCTTGTTTGGTGTCAGGTGTGGAACATTCAGGCAATAGCCAGTTATGTAATGAGAGTCAAGAAGTACATGGTTTAAAGATTTCATTCTCCACTCAAGCCATTGTGCGATGTTTGAAAAATCTTACGCCAAACAACAACAACAACAACAACAAAAACCCAAGTTCAAAAATCTGTCCAGCGACAACCTAGGCTCTCCTAACCAACAGATAAATGTTTCTCTGTAGTTTCACTGTTGTGAGCGCGAGCCTAGGGAAGCACTAGGTGCTGCGGTGAGAAAGGCATGCAGGAAAGCAAGGAGACAAAGGTGCAGTTAGCGGAGCAGCCAGGAGTCCTGACTGGTGTGCCTCGCCTCAAGAGAGCTCTCTGGCAGCCTCTGCAGACAGGTTTAGTTTTTAAAAGCACCAGAAAGCCACAGATTTGCATGTTATTTGTGTTCCAGGCTTCATTTCCAGGTATGTGGAATGAAATGAATGAATGAACAGTATTCAGTCTCCAGGTTAAGGGGTGGATTCAGAAATCCAGACCACAGTGAGGATCCAATCACTGGCCCAGTTTGGATCAGCATACAGTTGAAGGATATATATGTAATGTATATGTATATATATATATATATATGTACATATACACACATTATCTCAGATATATGAGAGGAGACAGAAACAGTCTCAGAGACAGACAAATATATTATTGAGCCCAGGGTCCCCAGTCAAAGCACAGAAGCAAAATCCACAGAATTTATTTTAAATTAATCAATTAAAAACAAAACAAAACTAGGGAGTGACATACACAGAAAAAGGCAATATCCCTGACACACCCCACCCCTGTCCTTGCTTCCACTTCAGCTTCCTTCACTATGTTAATGACAAGGTATTGTGTTTGCTTAGCTTCCCTTCAGGCAAACTATAAACTTACAGACTGTAAGACCCCGAGGACAAGGTGGCCTTTATTTCCTTGGTCAAACCATCTTTCCTCTCCATTTCAGGGCTTGTAAGTCCAGTGCCTGGCCTCACCCTTGAGATACCTAGACAGGGATTCCCTGTGTTTCAGGAAGGCAGTGCCTTTAGAGGGTGAGGCAGAGAGAGAGGCACCCATCATCTGAGTGTGCAAGGGATATCACTGTCAATAAAAGGATGGAGGAGAAACCTACTCAAAGTATTCTGAAAAGCCTCTTGGGAACCCTCTTGAAGGGCCTAAGACCCCCAAATGACAGCCTGCTGGACTGAGGACAGTGCCCCTCTCGATGTCGCGTGGAGCACTGTCTGTGATCTGCAGGAACCCTCTGGAGGTGACAATGAATCAGCAATCCCCCTCACACCCCTACAATACTATCAGTCTAAACTAATGCTTCAGAGATTGAGCCCTGCCAAATCCTCGGCACACAACAATGTAGAAGCCTGCACTGTTGATTAGAAAAAACAGCATCAACCCATTTTCCTGGCCTTGACAGCTCTAAGTGTTGGTCCATCCATGAAGGCAAACGGGGAAGTTATCCCATTCCCTCATTAGGGCTACAGATGTCCAAACAAAGATTTTTAAGATAGTGTGACCAGGGAGGGCTTTAAGATCAGATTGGGCGCATGTACTTAGTAGGTGCTTAAGAAAGGATTCAACTGAATGAGGGTGCCTGAGCAGAGTGGAGTCTAAGCTCTTGGGCACCTCTCTTCCACTTGCCTCCCTAGAAGTCATCAAATAACTGGTGGCTATTCCTCAGCTTAGAAGAAGAAAAGCCGGCATCGGCATCTAGGTATGTTCTTTTTAGGCAAGGTTCTGATGTAGGCCTTAATTCTACAACCAAGCCAGTACTGACATTGATCTTCAACTCCAGCTCAAAAGCATCGTACTCCATCTAGCATCAACTATGCAAGCAGAGCAAAGAAAAACAAGACAACCAAGTGCTAGTCACTTTTTACTCTCACATTGTTCAGAGCTTGGAGGATGGCACAGAGAGATCAGAGGTTACGAGTTTAAAAATAAAGAAGCTCTTTAACAAACCCTCTTCTCTTCTACTAGAGATAGTACCATAGGCCGTGTAAAACCAGGTGAAGACGGGCAGCCTTGGGAAGGAATGGGTGGAAAGGTTTTGCCAGGTTATCTGCTCTACCCCTGAAACACTAAAACAAAAAGCTGCCAGTGCTGAGGACAGTGAGCACAGGAGGCTAGTATGGTCACACTGGCTGAAGAATAGAACCTGCTACCACAAGGAAGTACACCTCATGTTTAGAAGAGGGAACTGACAGCAAGTCTCTAGGCTGTATGATGGAGAAATACACTGAACACTACATAAGACTCCTGGGAGTCACAGTGGATCTCAAGTCATCAACTGGATGTAATTATATTCCATGTCATATCACATGTTCAAAAAAAAAAAAAAAAGGCAGAAACAAGTCTTATTCCCTCTGTACACAGTCCGGGGATGACTGCTGGGACTGTGAGTTTTTTGTTGAAAAGTCTGTAACTGCCATGTAATGCTTATTACAAATATTCCTTTTGTAGGGGAGGGAAGATTGCTATGGGCACTGAACCCAGGGGAAGAGACAGAGGGAAGGGAAACAATAGGCACATTTCGTTTAAAGCAGGCTAAACAGATACTGGTAGCATACCCTCAGCCATAGAATACAGAAACATCTTCAGTCTTGGTCAGCAAAGTTCATTCTTGCATTAAGGACGTTCCCAGGTACTCGCCCTGCTCTGCTGGCTAGCTCTCAAGAATGGCTTACTATCCAGGTCTGCACATGATTCCCACTAAGCCACTCCGTCACATCTGGCCACTCCTATTAGTCCTGGGATGGACAGTGGCCTTGGCATCTCTAGCTTGTACCTGGTACACATTTAAACTGCATTGGAGAAAGGGAGCTGACTTCAGACAGGCTCAAGAATTCCTTATATATTTTACAAAGTGCTTTTGTTGCAAGTCTCATATTCTGCTATACATGGCAATGAATATTTGTTGCTTTGGTCCACACAAAAAGTCTCTGAGGAGATAAAACAGATATTGTCTAAAGGAACAAATAATAAACAGAGAAAACGATCTTTGATGAGCCTCAGATAATAGAAAAGCCTGAAAAGCTTGTCTTATTATGACTAGTCCAAGGTGCCACCAAGTCAGCTGCCACTTTAACTACAGTAAGTACCAAGAATCAGACAATATTCCAGGAGTCCTGCAGTGAGACTGCATACCACCACAGTTTTCTAAAAGAGAGTGTGAAAGGTCCCAGCGACTCATATACAGAAAGCTATTTATTTCCTATGGAAAAATAAAAGAAAAAGGGAGGGGAGAAGGAAGAGAGGAGTAGCAAGAAGGAAACATAAATGTACAAAGGGGTCTCTTCCTCCAACATGCAGGGACCAAGGAAGAGAGGGGGCACTGGCGGCTGGAGTGGAGACGGTAACACTCAGTTTAACAATGGAATATTAAAAAAAAAAAATAGTTTTTTTTTTTTTTTCAGATTGTAACCTGTGGTAAACATAGAAAAATGTACTAAACGATCTTGGTATAAAACAGAGTAAAATCTTCAAATAAGCCCAAGGAAGAAGCACAATGCTGGGAAGGATGGGGCACATGGATGGGAAAGAGGAGAAAAGATTTTTGTATAAAACTACCTATTACAATACAGAAAAAGTATAAAATGCTCTAGTTCTGGAACGTCAGTACAAAAGGACACTGGCATAGGATCATCTCACCATCTAAACCTTGGGCGCTCTCAGAGGGTGGGAGAGATGCTAGAAAGAACAAAAGGAGTAGCAGTTTCCAAATCTCAGGCTTATCAACCTAAACTCCACCCGTTTTTAGTTGAAAATGCCGTCTACCTTGATAACCTTGACTCTTAAGCCAAAATTCATTCAGATCTTAAAATACTCTTAGGAAGTCTATAAACACCTGATACGTAGCAGTTGGTGGGAATCACTGTATGCTGGAATTTGAAAGATGAAAATAAACCTACAGACTAAATGGTGAACACATTCAGTCTTTTTTCTTTTAAAAGCACATCCCTATGAAATATATACTTCACATGTGTGTATGTGTATATATGCATGTACATACACACATACAGATAGGTATATATGTATATAAAATTCTCTGTGGTTAGAAACATATTTAAACTAACTAGCCACAGACCAACTCTGGTATTCCTTCGTCTTAGTCAGAAGGAGGCAACAGTGAAGTGGGGGCCCTGTTGCTGCACTCAGCACTGCTGGGTAGGTCCTCCCACAGCACATGCGCTAGCACATGCGAACCCCTGCTTGTAAGGAAAGGACTGCTTGCGCCTTTAGGGTCTGCCAGAGCTTGTGCGCTATGCTCAGAATGGGATGATACTACCAGTGATAAAACAGCTTTGAGGACAAGCAGTTGGGCTTCACATCAGGGCATATAAATAGGAAGGGTTCTGGAGGGGGGTACATAGGCTTGTGCCTCAAAGTCCAGTTTATGCTCCCATTCCTAACTCTGCATCTCGGGAATCATGTGATGTCTACGTGCTGGTGGTTTTTATCCCTACTTGCTGTCCACGCTCTTTCCTACTTCTTGATAAGGCCTAGCAACCAGAGTTTATAAGAAACCAAGATTCTTCCCAAGTTTTCCTTGGGCTCCTAATTAGGGACTCAGTGAGGCTGGAGCCCTTTGGAAACAAGACGGCAGAACTGAGGTGAAAAGCAGTCTCTCTCCAGCTAAGGGATGTCCCTCACCCCTTTCACAGCACCAAAGTTTCTTTGCAAAAATAGTATCTGAGATACAAAAGGAAAGGCAGATGTGCTTGTGAGTGCATCTCGCCTGGGCTGGTCCAGGATCAAGGGCTGCACATGAACAGGGTGAGGAGCAGCTGTTCCAAGGTCTCTGGCTGTAGATGGCAAAGGGCTGGTCCCCCACACTATCATGTCTGCTCTCTGAGACAAGAGTTTCACAAGATTCTTCACAAGAGTTTCCGGTGGAGGATCTCCCAGACCATTCGCTTCCGGAAATACGGCATGTGTTGCTGTAAGGACACAGACACACTCTTAATTTTCACTCTTGTAGGCACACTACTCCTTTTTCCATACTCCCTTTCATCTTACAGCTTTCAACCAACAGACGCAGTGACATTTCTGGTCTTCCAAACTGCTCATTCTTGGTTACATGTAGCCTTTTCTTCTCGTTGTTCTTTTCTACTATTTCCACTCTGTGGCCGTATGAATTACAGTGCCATCATATGGAGTCATTGGGCTAAGCCCAAATGACTATAAGAATTCTGAGAATGGTACCTATCAGGTATTTTATGTTGATCTCTTAAGAGAGTATGAGACTAAGGACTGAAAATGAAAAGTACTTTCTCAGAGAAGAGCTAAGAGAACTTCAACCACTATCTCAGTTTGGTCAAGATCCAGTTTTAGTTTTGTTTGAGATAGGCTCTCACTATGTAGCCACGGCTGACCTGAAATTCTATGTTGACCAGGTTGCCCTCTGACTCATAAGAGACTGGGTTGCTTCTGCCTCCGAGTGCTAGGATTAAAGTCATGTGCCACCATGCCCAGTTTTCCTAAGGATTTTTTAAACTCTGGGTGGCGACCCATATGAGCATCTGAATATGAAACTTAATATGTGCAGCTGTGAAAAATCTGAGAACAGTCAAAGGTTCTGAGCATACCGTGTCAAAACATTAATTCGGGCTCAAATGTACAATGGGTTGAAGGTGCTTTTGGCAGAACTCCCTGTGTCGCATGACCTCACTGCAGTCTTGACTCTGAGTATGACACACACTTTGCTCTGCGTGTTCTGTGACACCACAGAATGCCAGCTAGTGCTGCCAGAAACACCCCAGTCAGACTCTAGACCACTGGACACTGTGAACAGCAGTGTCTTTACTATATACAACATTTTCTGCTCGTACAGAAACAAAATGGTTTAACTATGAAAAACAAAAGAATTTAGTACATTTCTATCATAATTTCTTAGCATGTGATATGATATCTAATTGGTTTACTTTTGGATTGGATTGTACTAGAATTTTGATTTTAAAATTTGCTGTTTGGGCCAATGGGGTGGCTCAGTGAGCAAAGTTGCCTCCTACCGAGCTTGCTGACATGAGTTTGACCCTGGGACTCGTGGCAGTGAGAAACAACTCCCACAAGTTGTCTTCTGACCGCCATGTGCATGTTGCTTCCTTCTCCCAAAAATGAAAAAACAAGGAAATATTTTTTAAAAAATTGCCGTTTGACTCTTACTTCAGCCATTTTGTACTACTTCTGTGCAATAGCATTCTCAGCATTGCTGATTATAAAACCAAACTATTAAATCAACTATGAAAACAAGGAAGATGAGCTGTATCCCAGAACAGCAAAAATTCAGTCAAATTCAGTTCTTTATGTAAAAACAAGGATATCCATTTCATTTGTGTGCAAACTCATTTTTGCCTTTATTCACCTGTAAAGTTACATGTAAACCAGAAGTGTATTAAAATAAATTCTTTGGTTTATTATCAGTGTGTTTCATTTACTATTTAATATATTTATATATCCAGGGTAATGCAAAAACTTCTTGGGTGAAAACAAAGTGTAAGTTTTATTTCTTTTTAAAGATTTATTTATTTTATCTGTATGATATTCTCCCTGCATGTATGTGTTCCATGTGTATGCTGTGGTCCCTGTGAAAGTCAGAAGAGGGCAGATCTTCTGGAACTGTAGTTAGTAGTGGTTGCACCTGGCCATGCAGGTGCTAAGACCTGAACCTAGGCCCTCTGGAAGAGCAGCAAGTGCTCTTAAACCAGTCAGCCATCTATCTGGCCTCAGCAAGAAGAACAAGTTTAAAATGAAGTCCTGGTTCAAACAAAATCTAGAAAAGCCATTTACTCCAATAGAAGTAAAAGGTTAAGTCAGAAACATATGAGAATAAACCATAATAACTTGTAGTTTCAATCAACTTTGGCTCAGGACAATATACAGAAAAATGAACAGATGCACCGAGAAAGGGGACAAGGAAGAGATGTAACAAAGTACACGAGGACATTATGTTGGGGGTCTGTGGTGCTTTGGAAGAAAATGGCCTCCAAAGGGAGTAGCATTATTATGAGGTTTGGCCTTGCTGGAGGAAGTGTGTCACTGTAGAGGTGGGCTTTGAAGTCTCTTTTGTCCAAGCTTCCCTCAGTGCGACTTTCACTTGACTTCCTGTTGCCTGCAAGATGTAGGACTCTCATATATTCCTCTAGTACCATGTCTACCTGGATGCCGCCATCCTCCCTGCTATGATGATAATGGACCGAACCTCTGAAACTGTATTCTGACACCTCAATTAAATGTTTTCCTTATAAGAGTGGCCATAGTTATGGCATCTCTTTGCAGCAATAAAAACCTTAACTAAGACAGGGTCTATTCCAAAATCTGAATGCTTTCTCTGGTTCATTTTGTGCTTCTTCCAAGATTAGAGGTAGGTGAGGAGACAAGAGAACAGAGATTAAAGCTTTCTTTTTAATCAAGACTCACTATCGTATGTGACACGTGGTAAGCCAGGATGTGAACTGTCACTGTCTTCTTTGGTGCTGTGTTAGTGCAGTGTTATAGACTGTGAACAGTGTTATGAGACACAACCTGAAGCATGCAAAGGTATGGCAGAGGCCACAAAAACAGTTAGAAAGGCAGCTATGGGTAGCTTGGGTATCAGGTGCCTAGGCTCTGTCCTAAATGCCCACCTCACCTGTGTGAAGTTGATTGGTCTGTCTTTGGTAATACAGTCAGCATATTTGCAAGCAAACATCCCACAGTCACTTCCATTCATCTGCTGCGGAATTTCCTAAAAGACAAACAACATACTATTTTTGCAAGATTCTTTATCATTTTGACACCATTTCCCTACATTCTGAACACATGACTGTGGGAACACATGACTATGTAAGAAAAGTTTAAGGGGAGGAATAAGTAGTATTTTAGTCCCACCGTTGTGTTTTACTTCATACTAATCCCACAGGGAACTATCTCAGATTTCCATGATACCTAAGCGTGTAAAAACTGGTCCTTTCACTAAGCATTAAATCGTCAAGTATTTCTCATAGGAGTAAGCAATTCAGCAAAACAGCTTGGCATTTAGAAAACAGTTTTACACAAAAAATATGTTATGAGATTTCCCACAAATAATTTATCTTCCTTGAGGAACTGATAAAACTGAAGTCAGGCTAGACATGAAGCTAGAAAGCCCCTGGGAATCAAACAGCAGATAAAACTCTCTCCTCCCCACACACCCTAGTTTTTAAGAATTTATATGAGATCAATAAGAACATACCTGGCTCTTTTTGCTGAAGAGCTGCCAGCCATTGGTGTCAAACTCTTTCCTTTTCTTGTCAACACTTTCTTGCTTTAGGTATTGCCTAAGGCATTGGAAGAGAATGAGATGAGCCATGTGGAGCTCTGATGGCAGCTGTCACCCCCAGGATGGGGCTGGCAATCTCAGAAGCCAACTGATCAAACTCCCACCATCTGCCCACTTTGTCAACCCAGGAGGGCCAGCATCTCTGCTTCTGACTGCACGATAGATACAGTCTTCTTCCTAAAGTTCTTCAGTCTACTAATCTTCCTAAGGAACAGTTTTTAAATATATTTCTAGGTTTGTATGGTCCTTTTAGAGTCATCACTCTAATGGATAATTTATTTAAATTATATTAAATGATTAAAAATGTCCTTAGCAGTACCAGGATATGTATTTTAGCACTGGTAGGCTCAGATCTCCTTGTAAAGTTCAATCCAAATCAACAATTTAACAAGTACAAATTCAAGCAGGGTGGTTGATGGCACAAGTCTTTAATCCCAGCCCTTAGGAGGCAGGATCTCCGAGTTTGAGGCCAGTCTGGTTTACAGAGTGAATTCCAGGTGCATAGCAAAGAATAGGTGTTTTAGAAAAAGAAGCAAATAGAACATAAGAGACTTGCATTCCAATTTCCAGGTGAGCCACTCACTAAGTATTAAGACCCAAACAAACCAAAAGTCACCTCTGTGGGACTTGGTATTTTTCATCTAAAATTTCAGAAAGCTGATTTAAATGAGTTCTGTTAGCTTAATCTCTATGTATAGAATTACTCCGTATTTTAATGTGTCAAGATAACAATTGCCCCCATTAACACATATTGTAGTATTATAATTACTACACTCTACTTGAATTTAAAATATGCATTTATACGAGATATGACAAGTCATGTCTCTGAAGGTATCAGACAACTGAGTTTAACTGCTGGAAAGACAGAGAAAGCAAAAACAATTTTGTCTGTCCTCAACTCGCACTTACAGGAGGATCCTGCAGGCTTCATTGTTTATTCCACCCATAGAATCATAGTAGGTGACACTCTTCTTTCTAAAGTCTATGACCTGGGAACAAACAGAGCAGTGAGGACAGTGCTGCAGCATCAGCTTTCCCTCCCCGACTTTCTGTGACACTGTGAGAAGCTGGGTAATGTTCTGTGCTATGATCATGTAGAGTGATACGGGGGGGGGGGGGGGGGGGGGGGGGGGGGGGGGGGGGGGGTCATTAATTGGTGGGCCTAGAAATTAGCCTAAAATATTTTTCTATGCTCAGTTTTCCCGTGATCAACAACACATGAGTCAAAGAAAACTAGTTAACTATCTTAAGATCATTTTCACAGTTTAACAAAGATGATGACAAGATTCTGGGTTTGTCTTTAATCTTAATATTTTCTTTTTGGATTGATGTCTTTTACACATAATTCAAAACAGAATATAAAATAACTTTTAATAACATCAATTTGATGTATGCGTGTTCCCAGAGTCATAAAAATACACAAAGCAAGTCACAGGCAGGAAGTAATAGCCCAAGCTGAGCTGGCAGCATCACGAACACGTTTCCCCTTGTCTTACGCTGAGGTCGGTAGCTGGTCTACAGCTGCCAACGCCAAGCATCTCCTACTCTAATGGGAAATTCACTCATTTATCTGATTTTTAGCCAAGTTATCACTACTAAATCCCACTTTTCCCTATAATCAAGCAAAGATGTAGAACTAGTGACCCTCTATGTTGTCTTTGTAGATTTCTTTTCATGTCACCAAAAATAAAGGAGCTACTCACAGCTAGACACCAGTGCACACCCAAGTGAATGGGCACCAGAAGAATGTCAACAGAAAACACATCCACTTTTTTTGTCCAACGTTTCACCGCCTGATAACCAGCTGTTTTTAGCTTAGTGAAGAAAAAGGTATTAAACGCATGTACACTTGGAAATCCCTTCTCTTTACTGCGCTCCATCAGCATATTCATGTAGAAATTGATGATCTGCAGGAAGACATTACACATCAGAACAGTCCAAACAGTGGCACGACAGGCAGAGCAGCCGTTACACGGAATAATCAGTATGCCATTCACATGTTTATGTATTATGTTTTGAATCACAACCGACTCAATGAATTCTCCAATAGACAGACTTAAAATATCCAGTTTTTACTTAATATAAAGTTTATTAATCAAACTTCTGAAAGTATCAAACAACTAAGTTTCACTGCTGGAAAACAGAACGGATAGGCAGATTTAGTCAGACTTGTAGAACACGGAGAGGAAGGAGGAAGGTGAGGCTTTAGAGGAAAGGAAATGAAGGCATGCACTGGCAGTGTTACTTTAATGTTTCTGTACTGAGTAAGAGGATCCCGATCTCAGTTCTTATTCCCCCATACCCTTTTCTCCTTCCTCTCTCCCTCCCCTCCACTTTTCCTTTCCTTTTCTCTCTTCTTCCTTTGCTCACTCCCTCTGTTTAGACAGTTTCACTCTAGCAGTCTGGACTCAACTTCCTTTATGGTGCAAGTTAGCCTTGAACCTGTGGAACACCTCCTGTTTGAGACTTGAGTGTTTATATTAAAGATTTGCAATAGGACATAAAATCCGGTTCCATATTCAAAGCCATATTGGTCACATGGCAATGGCATGCAGCTTCGGTTTCAAGCAGATCTAAGCAAGCAAAAAGCCAGGAGGTAAACTAGGAAAACACTTGCAATAGTACAGCAATTTCTCTTAGGAGCGAGACATGATATAGTGTAAAATTGTTTTCTGTTAAAGACCTAACAGTCAAGTCACAAGCATGAAGAGAACAGATGTTTAGCTTTCTCAGCTCCTGACTTCAATAGCAAGTATGAGTATGTAAATTAAAATGCTTGACAGAAGAGGAGATACTTTATCAACTTGATGGAAGTGGATTCTTTCTGTCAACAACGCAGTGTCTTCTCTACAGTAACTATGCTGTCTACAGTTCCTTTAAGTTCAGGACTCCCTGGTACTAAATCTTGAAAGGGCCAAAGATTACAGCATACTTACTTTATGTGGCTAACTACGGCCAGGCCAGTGTCTGTCAACTGAAAGGAATGAATGGGCTAACTGAGCCACAGCTTGGAAATATGACTATGAAAACAGGCACATTTTTCAGAATTTTTTTTTTTTTTGAGGAATGGGAAAATGCCCCTGTCCTTTGACAAATATTTACACACCAGGATGCCAGAGCAGTGAGCCACTGTCCAACAGCAAGGAACACTGCCAGGAACACAGCCGAGCATGGTCTAGAGCAGAGAAAGGGCCTATAGATAGAGATGCAGAGGTGGCTTCAGAGAAGCTGCATTAAGTGCTCTTAGGTGATGGGGGCCAGCTCTGAAGACACTGCTCTGCCTGTAGCTCTGATCACTGTGCACCGAGGACCCTGAGGAAGCAGAGGACTTAGGTTGTGGCTAATTCTGTGTCCTGAAGCTAACTGGTTCTTACTTGTTTGAATAATGAAAAGGAATCAAGGTACAATCAAGGTACAGATGGTATGCTTTCAAATCTAGGTATTTAATTTAACTGCCAGAAAATAATGGTCCTAAATAATGTATCTCTGTTTGTGAAAACATCCACTAAGACAGGCATACCTGCCCAGCAAGCACAGGTTTCTAGAGAATAAATTACAATCTCCATTGAGAGAAAATGAACCAGAAGGAATGGGTAAGTTTTCTTTCAGAGAATTAGGCAGAATCTACCTAATCTACTATGTTATCCATGTTATACTTATACATACAACTATTTTTTTTAAAGATTTATTTATTTATTTATTATGTATACAGTATTGTCAATATTCTGTCTGCATGTGTGCCTGCAGGCCAGAAGAGGGCACCAGATCTCCTTACGGATGGTTGTGAGCCACCATGTGGTTGCTGGGAATTGAACTCAGGACCTTTGGAAGAACAGGCAGTGCTCTTAACCACTGAGCCATTTCTCCAGCTTCTACATACAACTATTATAAACATATATTGTAGTTATATATTTACTATACCCAAAGCCACAATATACAGGCAGATAACCAGGCAGTCACTGATAGTCAAACCTTTTTGCAGGGGCTGGTAGGTTACATACTTTATCAGACAATAAGCACTAAGGAAAAAGGTAAAAGAACAAGGGCAGAGAGATAAGGAGAGCCAAGCACACAAAGCCATGCAAGTATTTCTCTCCCAGTTCCCTACCAGAGCTAGCACTTCTGCTATCGTTAGCTTGAAGTTTTTTTTTTTTTTAAAGGGTGGGGGTTGACATGTTACACATAAGTATCCTACTTTTCAGAAGGAAAAAGTTTTAAAAACTAAACATGTTTCTAAAAGGGTTTTTCTCACTCCCTGAAAGAACCAACTATAAAGCTAGATTGATGAGAACAGAGAATCCTTTCTTCATTGCTTGGGTATTGACTCCATCCAAAGCTTTTTGTAACGGGGAAGGAAATGGTTCTTCCCACTAGTCAATAGTTAATTAGCTCCATGGAATGATCTGGGTTCCCTTCCATTTTCCCTATATCCTAGCAGAGGGAGTCTGGTGGCCTCAACATTCCCTCCTATTAGCTGAGAATTTGCAATCTGATATCTAAGCTGAGTTTAGATACAAGTCTCTCTCCTCAAGTGAGGAAAACTGCCATAGTTCAGCCAAGACACAATCATACTCAAAATAAGACACACAAAGAATCCTACATGTCATTCCACAGCGGGGGACTGGGGATAAAGGAGAAAGAAATGAGAGAAGGGATCATAGTGTTCAAGATGAAAGAGAAACAGAGATGTCACAACGTCTGCCGTCTGCCGTGTTTTATAAAAACAAAGGTCCCTCCCTTCTCCACTGGAAGAGTTCTCTCTGACACAAGAGTCTCTTAGCCCAGCAAGTCTTAAATCCCCTTTAAAATAAGGGGCTAAAGTATGCCAGTCCTGTGCCTTACTGTTTGTCCTGCCACTAAAGCACATCTGAAAGCCACCGCTAGGCTTGTTAGTCTACTGGCCACCCTTTTACTACTGTCTGAAGAGCCTTTGCTGGGAGCCTGCGTGTCTAAGCAGCCTTCTTTGAGGTTAGGAAAACTGTTTGCAGTGCTTTGTTCCTTTTCTATTTGATGCGCTGCCAGCCTAACACTGCAAAGAGGCTCCTCTTTAAGGAAAATTCTAGTTCTTTCTTTTTTAATTAAAAAACTATTTATTTTATGTATATGAGTGTTTTTCCTGAATATATGTTGTGTATCACTTGTGTGTGAATCCCCTGGAACTGGAGTTACTGATGGCTGTAAACTGCCATGTGGGTGCTGGGAAGCTAACCTGGGTCATCTCTCCAGCTCCAGAAAAATCCTACATAGTTTTCTAATGAATACTGGGCAGAGAGATAAGAATTTTTTCCCTTGAATGTTGACAAGATGACACAAATGATCACTGGTATTTGTATCTTTTTTTTTCTTGCCCAGCAAACCAGACAAATCTAGAGGTAAAATATTCGCTAGCAGTAAAGTCTTGATGTTTAATTCTTCCATGGTTACTCTGAACCCCACTGCTTGGCTCAGGAAGCAATAGGCATGGTAATACTCCTGAGCAGACACTGAGACAAGAGGATAACAAAATAGCAGCACTAGACTGTTATGGTTCAGAGACTGCCCAGTCAAGATCTAGACTAAAATAGAAAACACAGCTTCCCTACTGTATAGGACTTTGTCTCCTCATGTGTACATTCAAGAACAAATGATCAGAATTACGTAAAGTTTTAAAGAAGGACAGGCAGGAGATATCTACGTTTATGGAAATCAATTACTACTTTCCAAATGACCTTGTATAAGATCTAGGTTTATCAGAACTAGTTTGGGGGACATTCCAGAGGCCAGCCATAAGGACAGGAAAAAGAAGCCTGCATATGTATATGAGTGTTTTTCCTAAATATATGTTGTGTATCACTTGTGTGTGAATCCCCTGGAACTGGAGTTACTGATGGCTGTAAACTGTGGTCCTAGAAACAACAGTTTTACTCTGATGGCTTCATTCTCATGGATGCATCAATGTGGCAGGTCTATCATATTCACTTATTTAATTATCTTCATCTCTTAGTTTCTTTTCTTTTTACATAGGCTATCCCTTCCCTAGAAACAAATTTACTGTCAGGGTTAAGTTTTGTGGGCTATTTCCTCTACCTAGCATTACTAGACTTTACTAGTAATTTCCCGAAGAAAATTATCAACTATGACCACTATCACTGCCCTTTCCATTATGTATGTGTGTGGGGGTGAGGCTAAAACCCAAGGCCTTGTGCAGGTAGGCAGGAGCTCTATCACTGAGTAGATATTATGCCTGGATTTCCACTAAATATTGTGTTCTACAAGTTAGAACTCTTGACTAAAATGCATGAGCTCCACCTCTAGCTCTCAATTCTGCCAGAAAAATCCACTGAGCATGGAACTTCCTTATAGCCTTACTGTTTTACTTTCCTACAACCAACCAAACAGGAATACTGTCTCTACATGAAGGCTACTGCAATGCTGAAGAGCTGAAAGGCTTTTCTCTTCAAAGATGAGGCTTACAAATGGTAGCCCCGCTGGCTAGCAGCCTGTGTACTTGCAGTCTGCTTTGTAGACTCTACCTCAGTTCCTCCCTCTTCTCGCATCTGCTGTGAGATTTCCCCAAGACCTTTCCTTCCCTGGTGAAGTTACAAATACCACATTCCAATATTTCAGTATTATTTTACTTTGGAAACAACTGGTTAATAACTGGTGTGAGTTTTGCAAAGTAGACTCCTGCCCCCAAAAGGGGTACATATATCTTCTTGCTAGTTTCCAGTTCACCATGTAAATTAGTTATTAGCAATGATTTGGAGACTAGGCTCTTGGAGGACAAATGAAAGCAGGAAATGTACCAGTTATGCGGTTTCTTCACTCAGTCTCTGCTTATTCTCTCAGCTACTTAGGGAGAGAGGAGTATTGGAGTCTTTGGAGCAAGTACAGCCTTGTTTTCTCCTACTGCTCTTGGTTCTACCAGTTTTGCTTCCCATGTTCTGAAAGTTACTGAATGTGTAAGGATTTAGGCTGTGAAGTTCCCCTAATGAAGCGGTCTCTACTGTGAGATCACTACCACCGCTAACAGTTCCCAACTCTAAAATAAGCTTTGTATACATTAACAGCCACTTGACTTCTTTAATTAATGTTTGCATGGTATAACTTTCCCATCCCTTAATTTGTAAACCTATCTGTCCCTTACATTCAGAACAGGATCTTGTATGGTTGGTGTGTGGCTTACTACAGAGCACATAGCTAACACACACAGGTCTTGGGGTCAATTCCTAGGCATGCAGGAAAGGATGCTTCTTATAGACAATTTTCTTTTACCCATCTAACAATCTCTCCTTTCAAACTCAATGCTTTTTAAAATTTTTTTCATTCACACTTGTTTAATCTGATAGCAACTATCCAAGGTTAATTCCTTGAGTTATGACTATTACAAACTAAGATGCAAAATTTACAGCCTACTTCAAAGAGCAAGTAAAATAACTCATTAATATTTTAATATGGACTATAAACCAAAAATGACATATTTTGGATATAACTAGCTTAAATTAAACATTTATTTTATTTAGTTCTTTCTCTTTTCTTCTAGTGCTAGAGGTCAAAGCCACAGCCACAGGCATGCAAAGCAAGCATTCTACCAACTGAACTACATCCCAGCCCCTCTTCTAAAAATGATACTACTATTCAATTTAAAGTAAGATACATGGCTCACACTGTATTTCTACCAGACAGGGCTGGGCTAGATCATTTTGATTTGACACTGATATGGCTGAGTTAAATCCATTACCACACTCCATTTCCATGTTTGTATGGTTTCTTCTTTTCTATCTTTTCCTACTTTGGGTTTTTAGTTGCACGTTAGCTGGGATATTACTTATAAGTATACCTCTGTTCTTGTCACTGCTCTGGGATTTGATCTTCGTAGGTTTTTAATGACATCAGTCTATATTCATATTATACTACTACATATAGAAGGGAGATCTGACAGTAGTTAGCATCAACTCCATTTTGTTTTCTCCTTTATGCTATAATTATCAAACATCTATTTCTAACATCAGCTCCACTAAATATGTTGTTCAGTTTGGTTTTAATCAGTGTTCTTTTAGAGATGAAAACAGCCTAATCTCTTTACTTGTTTGCAGGATGATTTTTATTCGATGTTCTTATGCCCGAGGAACATGGAACATTTCTTCAGCACCTGTCTGCTGGCAGTGGATTCTCTCAGCACTATGTCAGAAGCAGAGTTTTCAGTGGGCTAGACAGCTAACTCCCTGGGTAAAAGTGCTCGCTGCCAAACCTGACAACCTGGGATAAATCCCTGGGACCCACAAGGTGGAAGGAGAGAGCCAATCCCCACCAGTTATGCTCTGACTTTGCACGCACTCTGTTGTGCACACATTACAAGGAATAAAAGTAAAAGAGCAAAGCTTACTTTGAAAGGATATGTATTGGTTACAGCATTTATGATAATATTTGTTTTTCCTCTTCAGTATTTCAAATGTCTTCTGGCATGTGTGGTTCCTAACAAATTATTCTTTGTCCCTCTGCACTTAATGTACCTCTTTTTTTTTTTTTGCTAAAATTATACATTTTAGCATGACATTTCTTCTACTTTGGATATGTTTGATTTCATAGATATCAGTTCCTAGGCTTCAAGTTTAGGACATTTTCATCACTAGTTTCTTAAACACATTTTTAGATGTTGCTAATGACTTTATTTCTCATTCTAGGATTCCAACTGCAAAGTCAGGCTGTGTGATAACATCCCAGAACTCACTGATAGTCTTGCCAGCTTTCTTTTTCCATGTTTCACCTTGGGTATCTATTGCTGTATCTCCACAACCATGTTTTATAAACTATAGAGCATACCCTCTTTATTTCACTTCTCTCAGGGACCACTGCTATATACATTTACGCGATGTATAGAAATTGTTATTATTATTTTTTTTTAGAATACTGGTTGAAAGGGTAAATCTTTCCCCTTTTACAATATCCTGAGCAGAAACAAAACTAGTTTTATCTGTACAAATACCTAAACACATATTTTTAAATTTATTTAATGATCTATAAAACAATGCTCAAGGGGCTGGAGAACTGGTTCAGCAGCTAAGAGCACTGGCTGCTCTTTCAGATCTGGGTTTAATTCTCAGCACCTACAGAGTGGCTCTCCAGAGTCTCTAACTCCAGTCTTAGAGAATTCAGCCCGCTCTTCTGATCTTTGTGTGCGAATATAGATACTTTGTATCTATATTTGAGGGAAGAACAGAATTGAAAAACTATGAGCTACTTGCAAAAGAGTGAATATTCATAATTGAAAAAGAAAAGTATCTGTAAAATAGACATCAGAATTTAGGTGTATCTAATAGTGCATCAGAATGCTGGCTGTTTAAGCATAAGAAATTTGATTCTTTTAAACTGGTGCTTCTTAAAACAGTTCTTGTTTTCATCTTTACACCTGTTTTGAGAGCTAATTCTCTGAACTCAAAAGAAAAGCACTGCTGCAAACACTACAGGCATGTGTGACAGGGCTACAGTAGAGAAGGACCCTCTCCTCCCCCAATCGATTCTAAATCACGTAATTCCCATTAATTTTCCATGCTTCAAGTCCAGCTTCTCATAGGTTTGGGAAGTGGAAACTATCTTGATGAATGCTGCTTCTGTAAGGAATTTCTGAGCTTAAGGCCACAGTGAAGGGCAAGAATTCAGCTTATATCCTACTCACTGCTGCCCCCTAGGTTTGGCATAATTTATAATAAACAGGCTAAGTCCTTTTGGAATAATTGACATTCTTTTCCAGCAGTGACAGGAAAAAGAAAAATGGTGATTACAAACCAAAAACAATTTATAAGAGAACACTTTTGATTATTATTGAATTTTGTTCTCCTTGACAATTCAGTGACTCTTCTCCACTATAAATTTAATCCAGTTTTCTAATACCTGAAGAGTCAAAAGATATTTCTGATAGAAACATCAAATCATATGTTCCTTACTACTGCTAGTCAAAAAAAATGTACTCAAAGAGTGGCAAGCCTCTGAAATTTTTATCTCATAAACTAATCATTGTCACAGACAATGGAGCAGTTCAGCTGACCCCTAGGGCGTGATGCATGGTCTGAAGTTCTACAAATCTAATTCCGTAACAGATCCAATTCAAGACTCTGAGGCAGTGATCTACAATGAACACCAGTGCCTGCTATTTATTATAACATCTATGACCTTGGGAGTTTCTTAATTGCCCCTAGCTTTGTCTTTTACATGCTCAACTTGTCATATGTACACAATAATAAATAAAAAGTAGGAATAAATCCTTCTAAAGTGAAACAAGTTTTTAAAAGTTTAGGATAAAGACAAATCAATTTAAAGACCATGCCATAATTAATATATTTAATTGGAATTGGGAGGTGAAGTCATTCCACCTCTTGGTATATACCAACTGCATAAAAATATTTTTTTCACTATCAGCTTTAAAAACGCATGAAAGCTACCCCAGAAAGCTTATCATATACAATGTAAGCAACCTAAAGCCAGATGAGGAAAAGGAAATGGACCTAGTTTCTGCCTAGAATTCCCAAAGTAGTCCCTCATGCTGCAATAAGGTCAGACATTAAATATTTGCTCAGAAATATGAACTGCATAGCAGGTGGCTCGAGCAGAGTGAGAATATCCCTGTGTGGATGGCCTTTCCTTCAGCATCTACAAGAGCGGATGGAATCTGGAACATTGAGTTTTTAAAGCACACAGAAGCATGAAGCTTGTTAAAAGGCTTCGCTTCTCTGTACCACATTCGTTCATACTGAGAGCCTGGGAGAGGGGTTCAGATGCAGGTCATCTAAGAACCACATTTCGAGAAACAGTGAGATAATGCTTTCAGTTTTCATTTAATATTTACTTACTATTTGCATATAAAGTAAGTGCAAAGTTACCTCATCATTGAGCCAGTTCAGATGGTTTAGAGTTTGAATATCTTTGCGTGTAATGGTCAAGCGGAACGCTTCACTGAGGACTTCATCCTGGTTACCATTACGAAATACATTCTTTATTTCTTTCTCCATTTCCTAAAACAAAAGATGGTACACAATGGTTTGGCTTCTCCCAAGTCTCCAGACTGTACTTACCACAGCCAATACTTCTGAGTTTACTGTTGTCGGTCTGCATCTAACGTTTTCTTCCTCATTACTCCCTCCCACCAGCCTTAGTCCTTTCTTTCTCACATAATATTCAGATCCTTGTTTCATATCAGTTCCTGAAGACTGAAATAAACTTTGCTCAAACTTTCCAAGCTCTTTAAAGGACTTCTTTATGTTTTATATTTCTGGTTCAAATGGTTTCCCAAGACAGAAGCTTACACAAAAAGCACCATGGAGTAAAGGTAGCATCTTTTAGTTAAGTTAGATGCACTTTTCACAAACAGTATTTTGTTTAACTTTTAAAGATAAAATATGGAATTTAATACAACTGTAAATATGTGAGGAAGAGACCTGGTCAGTCGTCCTCATCAACTTATGACCATGAGACCCAATATGGACAAGTTCAACAGAACCACCACCATATACGGACTGCCCATGCATGCTTCAGCATTGCCAGGGCATAAATTTCATTTTTTTTCAATAAGTATGTGATGATCACTGGTTACATGTATTTCTTTTCATCTTAATGGTGCTGAAATCAAACTGAGGACCCAGGCCTTGCACATGTGAAGCAAACACTCTACCACCAAGCTGCATCCCAGGTCCAATAATGTTCTGAAAAAGGCATGAATTAAGGAACATAAGACTTCTAAGTATTTTCAAAAATGTTCACAACGATTATTGTTTAAAAAGCAACATTACAAAAACAATGTATGAAAATATCATAATGAAACCCATTTCTTTGTATGCTAATCAAAAAACAAGACAAAACAAAAACACAAAAAGAAATAGTATCTCTTAGCTTTTATAACACAATGTGTTATAAAATGATTTCCTATCTGAGCCTGGCGGTGCAGCCAGCATATATAAAGTGGTGGGCTCATAATACAAGTATGACTTTATGAATAAACCTAGTAGGGGACATTGCTGAATTGTTTGGATGACCCACGCAGCCTTTCTAAACAAAGGGCAGCTGTAGATTTTCTTTTCAACACAGGATTTAACTGTGTAGCTCTGGCTGGCCTGGAACATCTATGTAAACCAGGCTGGCCTCAAATGCAGAAATTCATATGCCTCTGCTTCTGGTATGCTGGGATTAAAGGCATGTGCCACAACACCCTGCTCTACTGAAGGAATTTTCTCTTTCTTTCTTTCTTTCTTTCTTTCTTTCTTTCTTTCTTTCTTTCTTTCTTTCTTTTTTTTGAGACAGAGGTTTCTCTGTGTAACAGCTCTAGTTGTCCTGGAACTTGCTTTGTAGACCAGTATGTACTTTACCTCTGTAATTTCAGGAAATTCGTTTTCACTATCAGTTAGCTCATGACTTTTTTTCCCCGTTTCCTGGGCGACTGTGACAGGAATCTCCTTTTCAAGAGGTACACGAAGGTGCAGTTCTATGGAATCAAGTACTGCATGTTCCTGCTCCTGCAATCTCTGGAAAGAGAACTTTAGAATGAGTGGGACAAAGAAATCTACCACTTGACTTCTGTGAGGTGAGTCAGTCTGCACATCAGCCATTTACAGTAACTGCTTAGCTACTGCACAAGCACAGAGCCATCACTCAAGCACAGCTAACCTCCCCGACAGCTCCAGTCTGGATATGCTATTCAACTTATTATCTTAAAGAAAAAAAGAGATTACATTTACTTTTATCTTTTATGTATGAGTGCTTTGCCTGTACAAAGTGTACCAAGTAGGTGCCTGATTTCTGAAGAGGCCAGAAGGGGGTGCTGGAATCCCTGCAACTGAAGCTCCTGATGGCTGTGCGCTGCCATGTGGGTGCTGGGAACAGAAGCTGAGTCCCTTGTAAGAGCCGCCGGTGCAGCCCTTACTTTAATCTTAACACTTCTTGTTCCTTACCTGGTTTTGAAGCTGCAGTGCCAGTGCTCTCTGTTCTTCAATCTGGCGCAATCTTTCCCGGGCTCGTGAATCATAAACACTAGTTCTAGAGAATGGAGAGAGGGAGTCAGACCAGCGTCTCAGCCCAACCACAGCTCTGCAATGCACTGCAGGTATGCAGCGTTAAATAGAGCTCACAGTACAGACTCCACTCAAACCTCACCACATAGTAAAACAACGTGGTTATTTAAACTATTCTACCATGTTTACTGGAGTAATTTAAGTATAATAGGTGTGACTTCTGTAAATAAAGCTTCTTAAGGAGGCTGGTGAGAGTAAAGCTTCACTAGAAATCCACAAGCAGAACTGGGTCCTAGAGAAAACAGTACACTGTCAAGGCTACAACTAAATACCATGTATTTAGACTCGCAAAGACCAAGGGCTGATGAGTACTGAGGTGCTAGAAATTAAATGATTTCAATAATTTTTCAAACTCTGTAAAAACTCAACAGTTTATCTAATAACAAAATAAAGGCATTTACTTTAGCCAGGGGGTGGTGGCGCACGCCTTTAATCCCAGCACTTGGGAAGCAGAGGCAGGCAGATCTCTGTGAGTTCAAGGCCAGCCTGGTACAGAAGAGCTAGTTCCAGGACAGGCTCCAAAGCTACAGAGAGACCCTGTCTCGAAAAACCAACCCCCCCAAAACAAAACAAACAAACAAACAAAAAAACAAATTAAAAAAAGGCATTTACTTTTCTTTTTAACATAGCTAACTTTGGAATATTTTCCAATTCAATTTAGCTTCAGCAACTGTTACAAAGTTGACAAATATAAAAATAGAAATCTCCTAATTGGGGCTCAAGAGATGGCTCAATGGTTAAGAACTTCAGAGGACTTGGGTTCAGTTCCCAGTACCCATATGGAGGCTCACAAAACTCTAGTTCCAGAAGACCCTGCACCCCCTTCTGGCCTCTGTGGGCACTGCATGCATAAGATGCACACACACACAGGCAAAACACATCAAATAAAAATACATAAAATCTGGAAAAAAAACTATTGTAACTCTAAGAGAATCTTAAAAACCTAATACCTGAAAAGTACAAATACATTTTTTTTTTTCCCTAGACAGGGTTACCCTGTATCTCTGGCTGTCCTGGAACTCTTACTGAGTAAAAACAATTAGGATAATTAGTTGTTTGATTTCTTTCTAAATGAAAATGAAATGAGAAGAAAAATAGTATCAAAAACAATAACTTACAATTCTTTGATCCACAGCTCTGCCTGGAAGAAAGTAGGACTATAAATGGGGAAAGGAAATAAACAAGAGTCAGAAATTCAAAAATTTTCACCAACAAAAGCAATAGTCCCAACAGTTTGTAAAATTACTTTGCAATTATGGAATGAAAGATAGCCAACTGACACAAAGTAAGTAACTGAAACTTAAGAACATGAACACTACACGCGTACTAAAGGATGAACCAGTGCTCAGAGGGGAATGAAGTGCAGCCCAGTACTCTGTATGAGACATGCATATGGCGAAGGGAATCACTGAGCCAAGGTAGAGACGTGCACACCCAGCTACTCCAGAGATGGCAGGCCTACTCCAGTCTGCAACACTCTTGTGGGCACCCAAAGGAGAAACACTGAATAGGGTCCCAGGAATGCTAACTGTTCCAACAGCTTTTCCCCTCTCCACTGCTTTATCTCTTTGCAAACCCCTAACTAAGGGATCTGCCACAAATGTTAGAAGAACAAACATTCTTCCAAAGGAATCCTTTGAGGTCCATAAAAACAAGTAAATACAGCATCCAAATGAAAGTTAGGAGACCTAGTTCCATTATTTCTGTGATTCTAAGCAAGTCACTTCACCTCTATGGGCTTCAGCTTCAAGTGTTTAAAATACAGAGAGGTTAGCATTTTTTTGGTCCCTAGTCACCCTTAGGCTGTGACTTGGCACTAAAAATACTGTTCTGCCTCGTCAGTGTCATTAAGATTAACGAGAGCTGAGTATCTGTGGCACAATGAAGACCTGATATAACAACCAAGTCTGAAATCTTCAGTAGCAGTATAGTTTTAGTGTATTACACAAATAAAAAGAAGCAACATGAGAAGATGTTTATTACATGATACAAAGATGCAAAAAGAATTATTCATGATTCCTCATGAATTTGTCTGCACTCCTTGCTTGAGAATAAAGATTTTTTTTGTCTATTTATAAATTACTGTAACCTCTACAACTGTCTGGTACAGAGCAGACCCATGACTGCTGAATAAATGAATAATGTAGGGGCAAGTACTTCTCTTCAATGGACTCAGGTATCTGTTGGCTTAGGAAGGACAATTATAAGGGAAACTGAATTTCTACAGAGATTAAAAAGTATTTCTTATATAACCGAGGCATACAATAGTAAGAGCTACAAGCACAGAGCTGTTCTTAGTGCTCTGTATGTAAAACTGCTCTAGTAGTTTTACATATTGTTAAGCCTCATGAAAATCTCCATATTAGTTCATCTACAATATAATGTGTAACATGAAATTATATTACTCATACTTTATAAAAAACAAACAAAACCACCCTGAGGTTTAGAAGGACAAACTGTATTGAAACAACAAGTATTAGCTGTCCGATTCCAAAGACTATGCTTTTTCCTCTCATGCTGAAATGTATTTCAGTATGCTAACACATTAAACAAGGAAAACTGAGGACTTGGGCTATTCAAGGGGGCATTTTGGGCTTTCTGGGAAGACCACTTATTTGGGAAAGATTTACTTACTAAGCACCCACCACTTTGAGGCACTACAATTAGTACTGGGGAGTTACATGCAAAGACATTAGCAGTAAAGATATAGGGAAGGTAGAGTATTTGATGCCATCTGGGGATTCAGACACCACCTTGAAAAAAAAACACCTGATTCAGATTTTGAAAAGTCAGAATTGGAGGGCTGGAAAGATGGCCCAGAGGTTAAGAGTACTGACTGTTCTTTCAGAGGACCAGGGTTCCATTCCCAGCACCCACATGGCAGCTCACACTGTCTGTGACTCCAGTTCCACAGGATCCAACACCTTCACACAGACATATATGAAGGCAAAAACACCAATGTGCAGGAAGAAAGAAAGAAAGAAAGAAAGAAAGAAAGAAAGAAAGAAAGAAAGAAAGAAAGAAAAAGAAAAAACCTCAATCAGTGGTCACGCAAAGAAAGGGAATCCCAGTCAGAAGAATCAAGAGTGTATGAAGTATAGAGGTGTGGATGCTACACTCTGGGAAAACAGGGCAGGCCTTTACCATAGGAAGCTAACTGAAAGGCAGTGGCTGAAACTAAACTAGAAGGCAACCAGCCAAGTCTTGAAAAAGCAGACTTTAACCTAGCCAAGGACACCACTCCATCTGCCTTGTTAAACCGCTCACATTTCAAGTCATTTCTAGGAGAAATCCCCCATAAAGGAAAGGCACACACAGTAAAGAACCAATGGGAAAGGGAACATACTCTATCTTAATATCAGCTTCTCCCAGGAAAGAATGCTAGCTTCTGTTTACTTCTCCATGGCGTGTTTGTAAGCACCTTACTATCATCATCATCATCATCATCATCATCATCATCATCATCATCATCATCATCATCATCATCATCATCATCACCATCACTCAGAGACTAGGTCTCATGCAGTCCAGGCTGGCTTCAAACTCACTGTGCACATGAGGATGACATGATTCTCCTGCTTCCACTCTGTGAGTGCTGCAATTACAGGTCTGCACCACCACAGCTACTTTATGTCACTTTCACACTGACAAATGTGTTTCAAGAGAGTAACAGACTCACATGAAGGCCAAAAAAGCTAAAAGCAGAAGTTAGACCTGACTCTAAACACCACGTAAGAAATAATGAATCCAACTAATAAAGTCTCCTTGAAAGACTTAACAGAGAGAACGTTAAAAAAAAAAAAAAAAAGCCGGGCAGTGGTGGCGCATGCCTTTAATCCCAGCACTCGGTAGGCAGAGGCAGGCAGATCTCTGTGAGTTCAAGACCAGCCTGGTCTACAAGAGCTAGTTCCAGGACAGGACAGACTCCAAAACCAGAGAAACCCTGTCTTGAAAAAACAAAAAAAAAAAAAAAAAACAAAAACAAAAAAAACAAAACCCACAAAAGCTTAGAATAAATGTGGGAACTGCAAAGTAATGGGCTGAGACCATTTGGTCACCTGTAATCATCCCCTGACAACTGGCTACTAATCATCACCCAAGCAGTCACACTGCCACGCTGCACAGCACAGCTATGGAATTGCTACAGAGGACCTGAAACCTCAGGAGAAGTAAAACTCTATGTGGAAAAGCACATCTCAACTGAGCCTTAGACCAGTGTCAGACAAGCTGAAGGACAAAGTACATTAAAGACAGAAGGAACAGTGATAGAAGACAAAAACATGTATATTTATAGACTAACGTGTGTCTAGTATGTCAAGACACACACAGGAATCTATTTACAAACATGGCTTCCTCGCTGACTTCCATGGGTTGGCATTTGACCACAGACTTGCTCCGGCCACCTTAGATAAACAGACCTCACCCCAGTCTCTCTTACTTCATTATTCTTCACAGCACTGATAATCACCACTTATTGCTCACTACTTCCGTTTCTTACCTTTTATAATAAGAAGCTCCTGGCCAGGCGGTGGTGGCGCACGCCTTTAATCCCAGCACTCTTTAATCCCAGCACTCGGGAGGCAGAGGCAGGTGGATCTCTGTGAGTTCTAGGCTAACCTGGTCTACATAGCAAATTCCAGGCCAGCCGAGTTTAGTGAGACCTTGCCTCAAAAACAACAATAACAAAACGCCAAATGAACAAAACAAACAATAAAAACAATAAAATGCAGCTCCTTGAGAACTCTTGCAGCCCGAGCTCTTAGCCTCTGAGCCATCTCTCCAGCCCTAAACTCTTGCTATCTTAATGTCTATACCAATATCTGACATAGAGTAGGTTCTCAAATAAATACTTACTAAAGGAAAGAAAGTGCCAGAGAATTTGAGACTTGTGGAAAAGTTCTTTTTATAACACATGTACGCATTTTGGCTTAATCCTAAGTTTAATAAAGTATCCTTGAGGTAACTGAATATTTTAAGGATCATTAAACCTTTTTAATGACCAGATATGAATTTTAGAAAGATAGCTGTGGTTACAGCATGGACGGAAGACCACAGAAAACTTAGCATGATGGAAGACATGAAGAAGACGAGTGAAGGCTGCAGGAAAAAAGATGGAATAGGAACTCACTGAGATAATTTGAAAAGCACATGAAAGAGATCTAAAAAGAAACAGTTCTATATTATTGACTTTTAGTGAAGGAGCTGTGATTATGGAAGGAAAATGACCGACCCTTCCCCTAGGTTTACCTGGAAGCTGGAGTTTGAGATTCTTTCACATTGAGTAAAATCACAGAGTCTGATCCTAAACAAAGAAATACAAGAGCGTGTCACTGTTAGTAAAATCCCACCATTACCATGTCTGATTCCAGTTTAAGCTTCTACACACTATGCCACGCTCTATGTCACAAACGTAGCATTAAGCATAGGACAAATAACAGATAGTGTAAGGACAAAGATGGAAAGAGAGGAACAGTTTCACTTTACTGAGACTAGAAACTAGTCTTGGGAGGAGCTTCTCCTCCCAAATAAGGACATCATTAAAAACACAGGCACATCTGTCCATCAGCACTGACCCTCCTCCTGTTTCTAGGGATAAGAACAGGCCACAATTTTAAGTCTTGAGTTTTAAGTAAGGTGAAGAGAAGGAGATAGAGAAAAGGGAAGATAAAAGTCAAAGGTTGAGTTTATAGAAATAATTTTAAAAGCACAGATTTTATCATTGTGTTTTAAATGTCCTTCTGAAGTGTTACAATTATACCCTGACTTAGAATATTCATCACACAGAACAAGGACAGGATCAATGTCAGGTCGATGTTTGCTCCAGTCTGGCTTCAGTTCAGTATCTACTACATGACAGGTATTCCTGAGGTTTGAGAATTTTTTTATTTTAGATTTCTAGAAAATAAAAAGATAGTTCTCAGCAAATCATTTCACAAAATCTAACAGAGGTGCCCATGAGTAGTTAAATAGTGATGTCGCTAGAAATTAAATCCCCAAATAAGAATTTTCAGAAAGTGATGAGAATACTAACATAAATCAAATGAACTGAGAAAGGAGGGAGAGGCTTCAGAGACGTGTGCTGTGTGTGTCAAAAGAACCCTCTATCTCAACACTTCATCTAAAATGAGGATAACTACATAACAAAACTGTCACCACCACCAATGCTCAGACAGGATAGTTGGGCTAGCTAAGGGTTAGATAGGAGATTCTTCTTTCTTTTTTTTGGCTTTTCAAGACAGGGTTTCTGTGTAGTTTTGGAGCCTATCCTGGAGCTAGCTCTGGTAGACCAGGCTGGATCCGCCTGCCTCTGCCACCTGAGTGCTAGGATTAAAGGTGTGCTCCACCACCGCACCCAGCTGAGATTCTTCTTTCTAACCAAGGGTTTTCAACCTTTCTGAGATACACAAAGCTTCTATCAAAATTAATGCATATACAATAAATATTTGCTTAATGTTTGAAAATTCTCAGGACTTCAAAGAACCTCACTTGCATTGTAAAGTAAGAGAAACAAAAAGAAGTTACTGAAGCAGTCGGGTTGAGTGAGCTTGGACTCTTCTTTGCTCACAAAGTTAAAGTATTTAGCTTAGCAAGGTAGAGCACTCCTGTAACTTCAGCTCTCCAGAAGCCTAGGCAGTAGGACTGCCCAAGTTCAAGGCCAGCCTCCTATATAGCAAGTGACAAGTAGTCAGGGGTACATAGTAAGACTCTTAAAAAATATTATATCATGTCATTTTTTTTTTCAAGACAGGGTTTCTCTGTGGTTTTGGAGCCTGTTCTGGAACTAGCTCTTGTAGACCAGGCTGGCCTCGAACTCAAAGAGATCCGCCTGCCTCTGCCTCCGCCCGGCTATCATGTCATTTGTATACAGAAAAAGAGAATACCCTTTTAAAAAAGGAAGGAAGGGAAGAAGGAATGGAGGTGGGGGAGAGAGAAAAACAAGAAAACAGAGGAATGAATTTTATTTGTGGGTTTGGTTTCATCATGGCATGGCTAATTGAATCATATGTATTTAATGAAAATCTTCTATGTATTAAGTTATATGTATTACAATTTTGCCTGCAAGAGATACAATGACTAGTTACTGGTGCTGTTAGTATCATTTACCTTCAGATTGTGTGTTTGGTGTCAGCAAGTTATCTGGCTGCTGTGGAGTAGAGAGGTGATGGTGAGGCTGATGGTATGGATCAGAGTCTTTGGAGCCAAATGCAACATCTGGGGTACAGGACGACAGGGAACGCGCATCATGGGACAACCGTTCCCGTGTAGGTAGAATGCTGGCTGATCCAGAGGATGAAGAATCAGAGCCGACTGCATGAGATGCACAAGAGTTTCCATTTCTTAACAGTGAGTCTTTCAAAGAGTTCTTACTGGAACTAAGACACCGAGATCTGGTAAAAGAAGGATACAGTTTCAACATCAAATAGTCAACTGTAAAGTTAAGTTTATATAAGATACATTTGTGACTCACAGGTGCAAAGGAAAATGTGTGGTGGGCTTGGCTACAGAGAACTGTTTCCCTGTGACCATCTGCAACAGCTGCCTGTAGATCTCTTTTTCTTCTTCTTGAACTGTCTATAAGGGAGAGAAAAGAAAAGTTCTTAAATATGAGGCAAACACTTCTCAAACAAACATGGAGATATTCTCAGAATCTGCCAAAGCTCTCGTAGTCCAGAAGATAAAGGAATACTGCATCCTGATGACACTCTCAACGTGTGCGTAAGAGGAGCTAAGCAGAACTAAATCTCAGAGAGAGCTTGTTTTGGAAAATTATGGCAGATATAATAGTGCTGAGAAGCTATTGAAAGCCAGAAAGCCACGAAGCAATTATTTAATCACTCAAATGATAATCAGTCCAGGAAAAAAAAATTAAGACTTCTGAATTAGAATCTCAATAATCCCTTGAGTCCTGAGCCAATTACAAAGGTCCCAATAAGGCAGGCATACAGTCAGGCTCTGTCAGAGGAAGGGATCTTGTATTCCATGCAGGTCTAAGTATTTTCTGAAAGCGGAGTTCATCCCCACCATTTATTTACTTATTTTTCTCTAAGTCTCAATTTAGTATTTAAGAAAAATCCCCATATAATCTGTAACATTTACTCACTGACTTGAACATCTACTATGCTTTAGTCACTTGAGATTTGGCATTGTATAAAATAAATTTCCAGCCTTTATGGAGTTTATATTACAGTTATTAAAGGGACTGTCAATCAAAAACTTGTTCAAGCACGAAGAAAATTAAAGGGCAAGAAAGATACAAACTAATGGAGGGGAAACAGCAAGAAGGTACAATCTTGCTAAAAAGATGATCTTTCAGCAGAAACCTAAACTAAGGAGGGATGTAAATAAATACATACATATATGTATATAAGCACATATATAATATATATTATACATATGTAAAGGCAAAGCCCAAGGCAGGAATGTACTTTAAGTTTTAAGATCCATGAAAAGAGTAGAACAAATGAGGTCACGAGAGAGTGTGTTCCGTAAGCACCTCTAACCCTGCAAAGCATCTATTCTACAAAGAAGCAATGCTAGGTTCACTAAGAAATGACCTGGTGACTTTTTTTTTTCTGTCAATTATGTTTTTTTTTTTAAAGATATCCTTGTGACTTTATTTTTTTAATTAATTAATTTATTTATTAAAGATTTCTGTCTCTTCCCCACCGCCGCCTCCCCTTTCCCTCCTCCTCCCCCAATCAAATCCCCCTCCCTCGTCAGCCCAAAAAGCAATCAGGGTTCTCTGCCCTGTGGGAAGTGACCTGGTGACTTTTTGCAGCCACCAGTCTTCACAATATAAAATTTATTGTTAGGGTTTCTATTATGACATTTCATTAAGCGCATTCACATTTTATGTAATCACAAATGTTTGGGGCTTAAAAATTTATGTATGTATGTATGTATGTATGTATGTATGTATGTATTTATTATGTATAGTGTTCTGCTTGCATATGTGCCTGAGAGCCAGAAGAGGGCACCAGATCTCCTTGTAGATGCCTGTGAGCCACCATGTAATTAATGGCTGGAAATTGACCTCAGGACCTCTGGAAGAGCAGCCAGTGCTCTTAACGTCTGAGTCATCTCTCCAGCTCTATAAATGCTTGTTTAAAGCAGAATGAACTGAGAGGCAGAGGCAGGCAGGCAGGCAGGCAGGCAGGCAGGCAGGCAGGCAGGCAGGCAGGCAGGCATATCTCTGTGAGTTGAAGGCCAGCCTGGTCTACAGAGTGAGTTCCAAAACAGTCAAGGCTGTTCCATAGAAAAATTCCTCTCTAAAAACTAAACATAAACAAAAACAAACAAACAAAGAAATAACTAAAGCAATTAACTATGACAGTGACTAGACACTAACATTTCTCTTCCTGAACCTTTCACTGTTGCTGCAAAGTAAATTATAATTATATTGTCATTATAATGTTACTTATTTACTACATGCATTTAAATTGTGAAGCAGGACAAATCCAAACTATCCTGAAATTTAAACAGCTAAGTGATTAAAACAAAAGGAAAAATTAGGTAACCATATGGTGGATGAACAGATTCCAAGGAGCGAATAACAGTTTGTGATGTTCTCTGCAGGGCACTGGGGTCCACACTATTTTATGCCTGGCACATTCATATTATAGCAACGATACTGATGACCTTGTCTAGTGTTTGAGATATTGGTTACGTTCTTCAAAATAAAGAGCAGGGAGTTCTTGTGGGACACCATAAATGACAACAGTCAGGGGAACAAGGCAGAGACTGTTCCAAGAAGAGAGGGAACACTAGGAATTAAGAAGGGACAGGACAGCTCAACAGCATGGGGAAACAGAAAGGTGACCTAAAGGAAAACAGGAATTGGAGAGACTCTAGAGTAAGGCTGAGAGTGTACACAGCCCTCCTGACAATGAGCAGTTCTAGATTCAGGAGTCTTCCCTTGGAGAAGAAATCCATTACGCTAAGTTCCACAGTCTAGATTGCTATGGTCAGTGCCACTTTTAGGTAGTAAAATGGCAGGCTTGAAGGACTTTGGGGTTAGACCTTTCCTTGGTAAAACCAGGGACTAAACAGTAGGATTTAGTTACTGGCCAGAAGAGTAGGACCGAAGTCTTACTTCTGGCCCTGAAGAATGATAGTAGGAAAATATGAAAAGTCTTTGTTTATTGTAAACTAGTCTTTTTCTTTTTTTTAA